TATACATAGTAGACTGATATTGTGCTATTTACGATTTAAATCTACGTCTAATATGTTCCCCTTTTAATTTTTTTTAAATTTTTATCCCCTCACTGTTTAAGTAGAGAAGTTGGTATATGTAAAAAAAAAAAGAAGTATATTTTTATTTTATTGTAATTTTTGATATGGTATTCCTGTTAAATATTCTACACTTTTTTGGTAACAGCCTATGGGCTTAACAATAAACGGAAAGTCAAAAAAAAAAAAAAAAAAGACCACAAATAGCTAGAATATAAATTAACCGAAACTAATAGCTCCTGTTTGAAAACTGTCCAAATTTACAAAAATGCCGAAGAAGACGGACATTTTCCGGTGACTTCATCCCTGACTAGTCCCAAAAGTTCCGAATGCGGTCTCTACTGGCTAGAAGTAAAACGGAACTAGATGCTGGCAAGTTCATTGTTGTAGTCAGTTTTTGTTCGGAACCTGTTGAGTCCTTAACTAGTACACGAACAAGTCAAAGAATCTATTCTGTGACTTGAGTCACTTTTTAGTATTCAGATTAGTCAGGACTCGAGTCGACAGCATTTTCATAACTAGTCAATTACCCGCTTTTAGATTGTATGGATGAAAGTCCCATGTAACGATCGACGAAAAGTACGAGAGAATAGCAAGTAAAAAATTTCATTTTGATTTATTACACTCCGTGTACCTCATTAAAAATTAAATCTCTCAAGGTAGAAACGTTTCTTTTTAATAAATTTAAGTTGTAAAGTAACACAGGAATCACGAACTACAAGAGTAGTAGGTTTAAGTTTAGAAAAACTATAAAAGAACCAAAGACCAGAACTGTTTTCGAGAGAAAGACATATAATAAAATTTATTTAGTACTTTTTTTCTACTCTAAAAAATGGTTGTTCCGAAAGTTTTCTAAGAAATCCGTGTCAATTTTCTGTAAAATCAAAACTTTTTTCTAAACACGACAGTAGTAAAGTTAGTGAAATATTTCATTCGAAAGAGGACAAATTTTGTCTGCCAGATATGAGAATAAAATAGTTTCATCTGAATTTTACAGAGCCACGAATAAAAAGATGTGAAGATAAAGTCTGCATTATTTCGAAAAAAAGTTTCAATTTCTGATTCTTCAATAGCTTTTTCTAAATCTAAAGTGATCTTTTTTGTAGCCCGTGATGACAAGTTTACTCTTAATTCAAATTTATTGAAAAGAAACGTTTCTTCGTTGAGAGATTTAACTTTTAGCGGGTAGTATTAAAAGCGAAAAAACATGAGAAAATACGTTAGCGTCGTGAGAGGCCATCTTATGAATGAAACGTTTTCAAACAAAATCCAATTAAGGTAGAACTTATCCGTATGCAATGCACATATTTTATGAGTTACAAAAGAAAATAAAAGTTTTTATTTCGAGAGTGTCGTTGGTCCTTTCATAAACTTGCTCTCAAATGTGGATATTCTCTTATTTAGAATGAATAAACAACATAAAAGAAATAGTGACTAGACAGGTACATCAAAACACACGTTCTCAAATTAAAATAAAATTATTTATGATCCGTTTCTGTACTGAAATTGATCTAAAAGTTAAGGACAACTTGTTGATTTCTTTATTGTTGAAATGATTTTTTCAGCATCCATATACCATAGGCCATGATAACTACTGAAATCGTTAAACCCACCATTGGATCCAAATACCAAACGGTAGGATTAAGATTGTAGACAGTTACACTGATTGCGACAGATAAAGCCATTAGAGATGAGATACCTGTGTTGAATGCATCAGAATAAGCTGAAATAACATTTAATTTTTTGGCAACGATTGCTTTGGCGAATGCCAGTACTGCAAAAACAATGGTCTGAATAGCCGCGGCTATCACCAAATATCGATTTGGTACTGGTTTAATTTTATGGCGAATATCCAAAACAGAGTCAAGAAATACACCCAAACCGGAAACGAAAAATAATATTGACATCATACGTAGTGCATAAATTTCCCGTTTTAAATTATTAACTGAACTAATAAAACGCCATATGATAGCGGCAAATGATAGAACATCAAGAATTGTATCAACAGCAAAACCGAGTGCTGATGCCGATTGCTCTTCAATAGCGAGAAAAAAGGTAATGATACCACAAACAGACGATACAACAATAGAAATGATGTTTAACGTAATGAGAGCATGTCTCGTTGTTTTATCATCATATAATGCTAAATCATCATCATTATATGTTGGATTTTGTTTTGTTAAAACAGGATTGTGCTTTTCAGTTTCACTTGTTGGACTTAGCGTTGATACATTATCATTATTAATCGTGGAAAACTTAATTGGTTTATTCTCCGATTCATGATCGAACCGTTCATAACGACTAGCCATGATTAAATGACACCGTTTAGTACATCTAGAAAAGGTAAATAATATAATATATGGCTGATGTTTAGATTATTCGCTTGATGTCGGACTTCGTCAATACGCGAAAAATTTTTTTTGACATTTATATTTTATACAGCCTCGTTTAGTAATATTCATTAAAATTTCTTTCTATAAATCTTTCTCTGTTAACCTTTACAAATTGGAATATTTTTTATTTTTCTTTACTTTAACACATATTTCTTGTGGTACGTAAATATACTTGCAAATTTTTAAACGTGGTACGTATATTTCATGTATTTTATCTCGGGTGAGATTTATGCTACCTACGAAATTGAAACAGGAAAGAGCAAATGAAATTGAAATTGCCAAGGTGGAGACTTTCTCTCTCTTTCTATTTTATCGCAAGTTTGTTCTTCATTAACAGTTAAACACGAGAAACCTTTTTTTGAAATAATTTTTACCACGTCAACGTTAGAATAAAACTATTAGCATTTCTAAAGGCATACATTATTATGATGAGAAAAAAAAAGTTCTTCATCTTCTTCTCGTCTTATTTTTTTACACAAAGCGCATTTCATTCTAATTAGTTTTCTCGATGAACAAAAAAAGGCATCTCATATTTCAGTGTTTTTTCAAGTTTTTAGTCGAATGTAGTGGATCAGTTTAGTAGAAATTATTTAATCTCTCGTATATTTGTTGAAAAACTTAGTGGATTTTGAAAATTATTACAATTACACAATTAAGTCAGGATTATCGAATGGTGAAAAAATATGTCCAATCTCTAAAAATACTAATTTTAAATAGATGTCTGAATTATCCCTCGCGCTTTCTTGAGCCTATTCACTAATATTTGTTGAAATTAATGCTGCTTTTCGATTTTTGTAAAAAAAACACAATTATCTTCAAAATAATTAAGGACGGCTGAGACAGTTTTGGTATGATTCGTTTTCTGATATTCTCAGAAACATGTTGTACTCAAATCTTAAGTTGCTTGATTTCATTGACTCAGATGTTTGTAAAAAATATATTAAAACATGTACTTCTTCATCATTTCGCGTAAACAATAATTTTCAATAATTAACAAAGCCTTTTAACAAATAATTTCTACTAAAACTGACTTACTCTACTGTAAAATTTAAATTTCTCTCTTAAATATAATCATTTTTTCATACAAGAACATATTTTTTCTCGAAATATTTTAGTATTAGTTAAAAATTAAGAAAGAAAATATTTAGATGACTTTAAGATTCTCTTTCTCCTTTAGTTAGTTCATCAATTATTAATCATGACACTGTTTTCAAATAAAATATACTAGTTAGCATTAATTTTTGCGTGTATAACAAGAAATGAAAGCATAAAGGCATAAACGTCATTTTTTTGTTAAATTCCGTTTACATACACAACACATACGTACACAATGCAGGTGAATAATACGCAATAATAGTGGAAACATTAAATAGTCTACATGTAACAGGAAATTTGTATTCATTGGTGAGAAAGGAAAAAAGAGAAGTGAATAGAAAAATTATCAATTTTTCTTCTTATCGCGATTACATACGACAAGGAATAAAGTTTTTTAATCTCGCATTCATGCATGTTGAACAAGAGAAAAAATAAGAAAAGTCATTTTTTCAAAAATTTTTTCCAAAAAATTTTTCTGAGAAAGAGAGTCCGATAGACAAAAAAATGTTCTCTATTGTTGGCTCGGTTTCGCAGTTCTCCGTACCATGAAGAGAAAATGAGAGACAATACAGAATATCTGTAATTCTTATTTAACCAATAGATTTAAAAAAGTGTCTACAAACCTATAGTTTCTTTATGTCTTAGGCATTAGTTTTCATAGTCTTATAGATTAGCTTTGAATATTAATTGAACACTCTTTATCTGCAAAAGCTAACCATAATTTTGTTTCTGAAAAGAGAATTAGTCTAGTATACATTTTTCTTGATATTGCTTTCTTTTCTCTTTTTCTACACTAAACCTAACAACAAAATGAACAAACATCAGAATAGAGTACTGTAGAACTATTCTAATACCACCACTGACAAGAAGTCACATGGCGAGTCAGAGAATATTTTTTAGGTGGTTAAGTGAGACGATAAATTACTTTGCATCAGAGATGGTATGAAAACGTTCGAACAATCTCTAGTAAAAAACAAAATGTTAGCATAACAGCACCTAGTTTGATAGCAAGGGAAAAATAGTGTGTCCTAGTAAGAAACCTATAAATTTCTTGATAGAATCTTACAGAAATCCTATCCGAATCCTTCTAGGATTCAGTTTACTTTTAGATAGGATCTTAACAACATCCTATATAATTCTCATGAAATCCGGGATACCAGAAAGCCATAGGATTAGCTAGAATTCTGCTAAGATCCGAATAGGACTGTAACAGGAAAATGCAAAGATTGAACCTTAAACAAAATCCTACACATGTCCTATCTATTTCCTATAAAAATCCTAAGTGTAAGATTCTATAAGATCGTAATAGGAAATAGAAGTGCGTAGACTGGTAAACCAGCCTTTTTAAGGTTATCGAATGGGTGACAAAAAGATCATGAATAATCCAATAGTTTCCTTACATAAACATAAACATGGGCGAACATCGATAAACATAACTTTTAACGGGAACCACTACTTTTAAACCATTAGAACGCATTCGATATAACTAATTCGAATGATCTGTATAATTATCATTTTATTTTAGAGTAAGGAATTTCAAAACTTCTGTTCAACGAAATTTGAGATCGTGAGAAACTAATTGAAAAACGTTTGAAGCCACCTTTTCCAACATCTCTAATAAAGTGCACAAGCTGAAAATAAAACAAGGTGTAATTATTTATCAGCACAGCTTGTTGTTTGATCCGTCTTCATAGCTACATTCAATAAGAATCAAATGGTAATAATTCTTTAAACAAAAAACCTATTTTACCTAGATGCATAATTATTCTATAGTTAGACGAATAACTATCATCGAGAGGTATATATAGCGAGAGAGTTCATTTCCACTCCTTCAACGTTCTGTTCAATAGCACAAGAAAATTAGATAGAAAAGAAACAGGAAAAGTATCTATAGTGGTTAGTTATTGTATGACATATTTCTTTTGTTTTTTATATAAACTTTATTCAAAATAATAATATAAGTAAGAACATAGCCGAGCTACTGCTCATTATATGTTTTTCCTCTCTTACTTTATCTAATGCTTAACTTAATCACGTCAGTCCATCATTCTATATTTTGTTGTTGTTGTTTCTTTTTACATATTGTTCAGTTTCAATTCTGTGTTTAATGTCTTTCTCACTTTATGATCAACTTCAATTACCGTTATACTCGAATAAATTTTTGTTCGTTTATACAGATTTTCTTTCTTTTTCTTTTGTAACGCATGTTGGTGTGCACAATTGAATTTCCGTAGGCAATTAGATCCATTTTCATTTTATTCAGCTGGTGTATAATGTATTAAAGATAAGAAATAAAATAACCTCTGCTATGCATGTAAAAATTTCATTATATCTGACAAACAACAACTATAAGGCACCATCAGGAAACTGTTACTTACAGACATTATCCTGTGTTCTATCTTACACTTGATTTTGATCTTTAACATATTATCTGCAGAATAAATGGTAGAAGAAGGAAAAAAAGTGAAAAAGATATAGTAACGAACATAGCTATATCACTGACTACTTTATTTTTCTTATAATTGAAAAACGCGAAAGAAAAAGGAGAAAACAAACGGAAAAAAAGGAAAACCAATCATTTAGTAAACCATTCACTTTTCTCGTATGAAATCTATCTTTATTTTAAAAAATAGCAAAAGAAAGGCGCTCTACATACTAACTAAGTAGGTAGTTCGAACAAACTTTGGTTCTGGACTACTCAAAATCAAATAATAATGGCTTCTTTGTATCACAAAATTCTAGAAAAAATAATTCTCTGTCTCAACAAATAATTGGAAGCCTTTAGAGAAAATTATTTGTTTCCATTTTTTTCCTCTCCTTTGTTGGTATTAATTGATGTCAATATTAATTAATTTTATTAATAATCCAAGCAATAACACCAAAAAAATTGATTCTGTCTCTTATATAAATTTTTTCATAAAGTACTAACTAGTTATAACACTATGACTTTGGTAAACGAAGGATCAAATGTTTCTGAAATCAAATACTTACCCAAAATTGAGAACCTAAAATTCTACACAGAAGAATATAAACAAATATTCAGAAAATGACCCAAATGGCATTGTAAATTAAAGAGATTCAAATATAAAAACGATATTGGGTATACGCAATGGATATACCCAACTCAAACATTATAATTTTGAACTTGTATAGCAGAAATATTTGATACTTTTTCAAAAAATCGACAAATAAATAAGCATGTCATTCTTATGTACACTTTTTGATCTTTTTATAGCAACCAAATCTTAAGACAGACTGAATATTGAACTGTTTGAATTTCAAAACAATTCTATTTGAGAAAAATTTTGTGAAAGTTTATCAACTTTGCCAAAGGAAGCTTATTAGTAGCAAATAAATTTAAATAATAATTATAGATGTTGAATGAACAACACTTTCTTTTCTTCAAACTTGAATGTTAATATAATTATTTTAGTTAAATGATATATATAAATCTCGCACTGATTTACATATTAGTTCAATTTTTCTCACAAATTCTAACTTAGATATTTTCCTTCTACCTTTGAGAAATAAGACGATTATTCTGATAAAACGCTCAATTAGTTGGTTAAAAATTTATCGTTCCTATAGCTCATATTTGTCATAAATAAACCATCGCCTACGGAAAATGATGATAGTAATTTTGACTATAAAAAACAAGAAGCTGGTGAAGACGGTACTCATGGGTTAAATGAAACAGAGAACTATTCCCAATCTTATGTTTACATTCGTACACATTAGCAGAAAAAAATCTTGACTATTCACTGTTTTCATAGTGCGTGTATAAATACAGAGCAGATTTCGTTAAACATATAAAACAAAAA